ACCACACACCTGTACCTACACCATGACAGTGTGGCACTGTGCGGTACAGGTGACAGACAGGTGCCATTAGGGTTCAACAGTCAGCTGTGCATCCAGTAACCACACACCTGTACCTACACCATGACAGTGTGGCACTGAGCGGTACAGGTGACAGACAGGTGCCATTAGGGTTCAACAGTCAGCTGTGCATCCAGTAACCACACACCTGTACCTACACCATGTGGAATGGGTGGAAATAGGTCTAATGACGTCATTCGTTTATCTGTTGAGGACCCATGAAGATCCGGGTTAGAATATTGATCTTCAGTAACCCATACTTGTCATAAGAGGCGACTAACGGGATCGGGTGGTTAGGCTTGCTGACTTGGTTGACACATGTCATCGGTTCCCAATTGCGCAGATCGATGCTCATGCTGTTGATCACTGGATTGTCTGGTCCAGACTCGATTATTTACAGACCGCCACCATATATCTGGAATATTGCTGAGTGCGGCGTAAAGTTAAACTCACTCACTCACTATCTGTTGAGACCGATGACATCATATTGCAAGGGACATAATCCATGGTGTCTGTAGGTGAGCTGCAAAACCTTGGCACTATTGTTTCAAAATACGTTTCTACCATGTCTATGGATCAAGTACTGACAAGACATTCAGGCATGACACCAAAGAATGGTTTATTCAGATTGGTCTCATGATTTTAGTGTAATGGCGTCAATTGTTTATCAGTTCAGACCAGTGACATCAGATTGCAAAGGACATAACCGTTGGCGATTTTATTTTGGAAATAGAACTCTTAGTATGTGCAAAGTATGAATAGACATAATGCAAAAGGTAAATTTGTTATTTGTAATATCTGTACTGTTTGGGCTATGAAACTACTAGATAAATATTTTTGATGTTGGCAAAGTGCAAATGGTACATTTTTGCGTAAACATTACCTTGGCGTGGGTGACCTAATGTTTAAAGTGTTTGCTTGTTTCTCAGATGGTTCTGGTTTATGAGTACAATGTTTGACACCCATTTCTGGAGTCCCTTGGCCTGATATTGCAGATCTTTGTTACCTGTATTTGTTGGCAGTGTGACCTTAGTTACCTGTATTTGTTGGCAGCGTGACCTTGGTTACCTGTATTTGTTGGCAGTGTGCCCTGTGTCACCTGTATTTGTTGGCAGTGTGACCTTGTTGGTCAAGCTCAGTGACCTTGAGGATTATGTTATATTCCAGTTGTGAATCGATGCTCATGATGTCAATCACTGGATTATTAATTACTAATTATTTCCAGACTGTTGTCATATCGCCTCAGTATTCCTGTGTGATGTGGAACTCTAACTTCAATAGGGCTAGCTATCGACAGAGATCATAGAGGTCGATAATCGTTAACTAAATATTGATAAGATAAGTCTGAAAGAGATAAGTATATTTCACACCACTAATGTGTGGTAACATGTTTATGCATGGGTTACTAATAAAAAAAACGCCCCGTAACATAATCACCTATATCTGAATGGTGCAGATTTTCCTTATTTTGTTTTAGATTATTGTTGTCCTGTTCTGTGTTTTCATGACAACCCAGCATGACCACTGTTGTGAATGACAGGAATTTAGTTGGTAACATTCTTCCTCGTAGGTGCGTCTGTACTTGTCATTAAATCATCCATTAACCTGAGTACATGGTGTTGATTGGTTGGTGTAGGAAATGCAAACATATTCCACACACTGATACGTGTTGTTGGTGAAGTGTTGTGGATTAGCTGGATAAGGATGGCAAATAAACCTGTGAACACCCAGATGTCCAAGTGCAGTATTGATATTTGCATACTACTTGAAATCTAGTGTTGCTTCCTCAGCTGCTGATTGTATGAAGAGCTATTATGATAACGCTTTTGATTCACATCAATACTGATAAGTTAGACTAACAACTAGTCTCTGAAATGAACATATTTTACAGACAAGAAAAGTTCATATAAAAAAAATGTATAATGAAAAGGAGCCCTGAGACTTTCTTCATTTTCAGCTGAGGAAGTCTAGACTTACGTGGGCTTTCTTGGATATATTTACTTCAGGGTCTGTATGATAGACTAGTGATAAGTCTATGTTATACATTTGGAGTACTGTGCATTCTCTGTTTCCATTTACCTGCAGTACCCGGTAGTAATTTGTTTTTGTGTTGTAAAATTTAATTCAGTTGGTAATTTGAGATACTGTCAGTTCATTGAACAGGTATAAGTATTGATGAAATAATTCAAGTTGCACTAAAACACAGCATTCTCATGACTTAATACCAGGTAAAATGTATGTTTTCTTTTTCCTCTGTGAGAGGTTCTTCTTCTGTCATTTGGTATTTGGTTACCCCATACTGAATATAATAGTTAGTTTTCATTGGATTGTTTCACTCCTATGACAACTGTTTCAGTATGCTTGTGTGTAACATGGTGGGTATACCGAAGCAGATGTCTCATGTTTTTAAGTTGCAAACCCAGCAGAGTCAAGTAATAATCTGAAAATGTCTTTCAATAGGTGTGTTTTTATATGTGTTTATGGGCGGTGGGGTAGCCTAGTGGTTAAATCGTTGGCTCGTCACGCTGAAGACCCGGGTTCGATTCCCAACATTGGCACAATGTGTTAAGCCCATTTCTGGTGTTCCCCGCCGTGATATTGCTGGAATATTGCTAAAAGCGGCGTAAAACTAAACTCAGTCAGTCAGTATATGTGTTTATTCAGCTGTTAGTGTTTTGATTCGGCACAACTGGGAAGTCATCAGTATGATGGCGAGCAATAGAACCACCAGAAACATCGGCTACATAGCTGCATCACGTGATGTGATGGCGGCTTGTAAATAGCAGAGTCTGATCAGACAAGCTAGTGATTCATGTTATGAACATTGAAACACACCTTCAAGGTTTGTTGACAATGGGGTCAAGAAAGCCTGGCCATCAGACCCACTAAGACATCATGTTCCTGTTTTCGCCTTTGCCTGTATAATATAATAAAAGTACAACAATGGCACAATGCATAGTTGTTTAAAAACATACTCTTGGGATTGATGTTTATCACTTTGTTGAAGGGCTTCTTTAACAGTGCGGGCGGTGGGACAGTCTTGTGGTTAAAGCGTTGTCTCGTCACGCCGTAGACCAAGGTTCGAATCCCCACATGGGTACAATGTGTGAAGCCCATTTCTGGTGTCCCCTGCCGTGATGTTGCTGGAATATTGCTAAAAGCGGCGTAAAACCAAACTCAGTCAGTCAGTTCTTTAACAGTGCAGTATATGAATTTTTCTCTGATCTTCCCTTGTTATTCAGCAGTTTCGAGTAACAAACCTCTCAGCCAGGTGAGATACTAATTCTTCAGCCAGTTTTAACAGTTTGTAGTTGCCTACCCTCTTTTATGCGTTTCTATTATGGTTTTATTGTATTATTGTCTGTAAACAGGTCCGGACCAGAACATTCAGTGGTAGTCAATCATGAGTATCTATGCAGGTGGGATACATTGACATACCTCAACGAAAACTTCATGACTTGTATGGGTATTACGGAAATGTTTTTGTACAATGAGGGGTGGGCTTTATACCCTGAGACAACCATAGGTGGGGTAACCTAGTGGTTAAAGAGGTCATGTCGAAGGTCCGGGTTCAATTCCCCACATGGGTACAGTTTGTGAAGACCATTTCTGGTGTCCCCTGCCGTGATGTTGCTGGAATATTGCTAAAAGTAGCATAAAACCATACTAACTCACTCAGTCACTCACTCACTCACTCACTCACTCAAAGATAGGCCTGTACATATGTCAATACTGTGTTAGTACTGGGTCAGTACTGGGCCTAGTATGAAGAAAACACCCTACAGGGTTACATGACTGTGTTCCATATACTTAAATCCAGTATATTTTATACAATGTATTTTCCTCTTCCTCACATTTGATGTCGATAAAAAATAAAGACTGCTGTTGATGCATGGAGACAATGGCTGGATTTTGTGGCAGCTGATGTACATCTAGGCCTGATTAGTGTGGACATACCTGACTGTGGACTGATTTAGGCTGTGGAAAATATGTATTTACATTTTTCTCCATTTCTTTTGAAATTCACATAATTCTAATATAAAATAGTCATATGCCAATTCATTATTTCACCCTTAGTTCATTTGTTAATGATGGGTGTGGGAAATTGTTTCATTTTCACTTTTTTGATATCCATATTCCTGTATCGCAATATGATCTGCAATACTTTGCTTGCATGGCAGTTTCTGTCAGTTTTGAGAACTTGAGGAGTGTTATAGAAACATTAAATGTCACTTGTCACATTGTCAGGAGCATATTTAACATGCTCAAGATAACATGATAACAATGTAATGTGAAAACTTGGTAATATTTGCATATGTGCTCTTCAGCCAATTCTCTGTGCTGGTTGGTGTATGTCGTCCATTGTCTGTGACATCACGAAGTGATAACATTATGTCATATGAAAAATAGGACTTAGTGAAGTGTCTTGTTTTACAGTTATATGTTTTTTCTTTTTACCTTTTCTAAAATGACACAGTACAGGGCTCAATTTAAGAGATGTTAACCTAGTTGCACCAGGTGCAACCTAAGATAACAAAATTCCAGTTGCACTGATTTTATGGTGAAATGAAAGAAATATGCTATTGAGTTATTTAGATGTTTTATTCAGAAGTTTACCCACTCAAAAATTGACCTGCACCTGGTGCAAATTAGAATAATAACTATGTTGCATTTTGTAATATTGGCTAGCATCAGTGCAAGTAACAAAGCACTAAATCGAGCCCTGCAGTATTTTGGGGCATTTAATTACATTTCTATTACATTTGTGTATTTCTTTACCATCTGTATTGTGTTTACCTTTAGGAAATATTGCAAATATGAGGAGCTTTGGTAATATACTTGTTTAGCATATGAAAAATATGCTGCTACAGAACTGATAAGTGGTGTATCTTTTTATAAAATATATTGACGTGATTTACATGTTTTGACCATTTTACTGTCAGATGGTACCATGGTCGTCTGGATCGTCAAACAGCGGAGGTGCGACTCCAGGAAGCGGGCAAGGAGGGGAGCTACCTCATACGGGAGAGCGACCGCAAGCCTGGTTCCTTTGTCCTCTCCTATCTTGGCAAGGCCAATCAGCTGACACATTTTCGGTAAGTCCTCTATTGGCATGGTCAGTATGATGATACATTTTGGGTTAACTTTCTCCTGTTTTGACACAGCCAATCAGATGCCACATTTTCAGCAGGTCCTTTTCTGTCCAGGCAAGGCCAGTCAGCTGACAGCCAGTCATTTTTGGTAAACACTACAGTTGAACACATCCTTGGAATGAATCAACAAATGGTGCTTGTATGACAGTTAATTCTAACCTTCTAATTGGAAGCAGTTATATTTATCAAAGTCCATGGTATAGTATGGTGAGGTGAGGTGAGGTGAGGTGAGGTGAGGTGAGGTGAGGTGAGGTGAGGTGAGATGGAATGGAATTGGGTTTTGTGTTCAAGCTCATTGCACATATATAGCAAAGTACGTACATGTTTATAGCTGCTTGAACAAGTGCGGGCATGTGCTTTTATATTGTTAGTCAACTGAGATACCATGCTGCAGTTTAACATGGATCCTCACTCAGATACTGTAGTAACAAGTAGGCTGCAATGATTCGGTTCGATTTATCGAAAATCGAATCTGACACATTAGTTTCGATTTTCAATAACCATCAACACTTTTTCGATTCGATATTTGAAAACCTATTTAAATTATTTCCGTAACAGCCAGAACGTATTTTTGACTCAACTCGAGCAGTTTCGAGTGCTGAAATAAGGTGAAACGTGATTGGTTGACCATTGATTATCCAATGGTGAATTGTTGTTAGTAGACATCGCCAAGTTGACGATGGATTTCATGTTAAAAAGACCAACTCTAAGAGTTAAATGAAATCTAATGGTTGAATCGAGGCCTCCAGTATCGAAAATTGAATCGAGGTCTGGGTGAATCGTTACAGCCCTACTAATAAGGTAGTGTAACAACAGATGCCATCTTTGTACAGGTTCAAACAGGAATCTAACTGCTGACTTGCTCTCCAGGCAGAAGCTTGATCCACTTCACCATGGAGGTGGTTTTATGTCAGTTTGTATATGAGTTTGTCATATATTGTTTTATATGCAGTAATATAGAGAAATGTTTCCTGATTGTCAGAATCATCGCCATGTGCGGAGACTACTACATAGGAGGCCGTCAGTTTGAGTCTCTGTCGGATCTGATCGGGTACTACACACAGTGGTCATGGCTCCTGAAGGAGGAACAGCTGCGCTACCCTGTACCCCCTCCAGAGGTAGGTCACACCCATACTACCCCCTCCAGAGGTAGGCCACGCCCACACAACCCTGTACCCCCTGCAGAGGTAGGTCACACCCATAGTACCCCCTCCAGAGGTAGGCCACGCCCACACTACCCTGTACCCCCTCCAGAGGTCCAGAGGTAGGTCACACCACACACTACCCTGTACCCTCCAGAGGTAGGTCACACCCACACTACACCTCTGTGCCTCCAGAGGTAGGTCACACCCACACTACTCTGTACCCCCTCCAGAGGTAGGTCACACCCACACTACCCTGTACCCCCTCCAGAGGTAGGTCACACCCACACTACTCTGTACCCCCTCCAGAGGTAGGTCACACCCACACTACTCTGTACCCTCCAGAGGTAGGTCACACCCACACTACTCTGTACCCCTCCAGAGGTGGGTCACACCACACTACTCTGTACCCCTCCAGAGGTAGGTCACACCCACACTACTCTGTACCCCCTCCAGAGGTAGGTCACACCCACACTACTCTGTACCCCCTCCAGAGGTAGGTCACACCCACACTACTCTGTACCCCCTCCAGAGGTAGGTCACACCCACACTACTCTGTACCCCCTCCAGAGGTAGGTCACACCCACACTCTGTGCCACTCTGTAGAGGTAGAGGTCACACCCACACTACTCTGTACCCCTCCAGAGGTAGGTCACACCCACACTACTCTGTACCCTCCAGAGGTAGGTCACACCCACACTACTCTGTGCCCCCTCCAGAGGTAGGTCACACCCACACTACTCTGTACCCCTCCAGAGGTAGGTCACACCCACACTACCCTGTACCCCCTCCAGAGGTAGGTCACACCCACACTACTCTGTACCCCTCCAGAGGTAGGTCACACCCACACTACCCTGTACCCCTCCAGAGGTAGGCAACACCCACACTACTCTGTGTACCCTCCACAGAGGTAGGTCACACCCACACTACCCTGTACCCCTCCAGAGGTAGGTCACACCCACACTACTCTGTACCCCCTCCAGAGGTAGGTCACACCCACACTACCCTGTACCCCCTCCAGAGGTAGGTCACACCCACACTACTCTGTACCCCCTCCAGAGGTAGGTCACACCCACACTACCCTGTACCCCCTCCAGAGGTAGGCAACACCCACACTACTCTGTACCCCCTCCAGAGGTAGGTCACACCCACACTACTCTGTACCCCCTCCAGAGGTAGGTCACACCCACAGTACCCACGACAGAGGTAGGTCACACCCACACTACCCTGTACCCCCTCCAGAGGTAGGTCACACCCAGACTACTCTGTACCCCCTCCAGAGGTAGGTCACACCCAGACTACTCTGTACCCCCTCCAGAGGTAGGTCACACCCAGACTACTCTGTACCCCCTCCAGAGGTAGGTCACACCCAGACTACTCTGTACCCCTTCCAGAGGTAGGTCACACCCACACTACTCTGTACCCCCTCCAGAGGTAGGTCACACCCACACTACCCTGTACCCCCTCCAGAGGTAGGTCACACCCACACTACTCTGTACCCCTCCAGAGGTAGGTCACACCCACACTACTCTGTACCCCCTCCAGAGGTAGGTCACACACAGACTACTCTGTACCCTTCCAGAGGTAGGTCACACCCACACTACTCTGTACCCCCTCCAGAGGTAGGTCATACCCACACTACTCTGTACCCCCTCCAGAGGTAGGCCACACCCACAGTACCCACGACAGAGGTAGGCCACATCCATAGTACCCTATACCCCCTCCAGAGGTAGGTCACACCCACACTACCCTGTACCCCCTCCAGAGGTAGGTCACACCCACACTACTCTGTACCCCCTCCAGAGGTAGGTCACACCATAGTACCCTATACCCCCTCCAGAGGTAGGCCACACCCACAGTACCTTTACCCCTTCCAGAAGTAGGTCACACCAACAGTACCCCCTCAGAGGTGGGCCACACCCACAGTACTTTTACCCTCCAGAGGTGGTCACACCCACACTACCCTGTAGAGGTGGGTCACACCCACACTACTCTGTACCCCTCCAGAGAGGTCAGGCCACAGTACCAGAGGTAGGCCACATCCATAGTACCCTATACCCCCTCCAGAGGTAGGCCACACCCACAGTACCTTTACCCCTTCCAGAGGTAGGTAACACCAACAGTACCCCCTCCAGAGGTAGGCCACACCCACAGTGCCTTTACCCTCTCCAGAGGTAGGTCACACCCACACTACTCTGTACCCCTTCCAGAGGTAGGCCACACCCTGATTATCGGGCTGGAATAATGAAGGAAACAGGGTATTTGATATTTATGAAAAACTCGGGTAAGGAAAACTCAGAAATTGGTGTTTGGATCAATAAGCTTTGTGTCTGCAGTGCTCATAATGCAGTCACTGTTATTTGTTAGCATGAGGTATGTAGTATCGGTGCATACTAGGTCTGCACACAGGTGACCCTGTAGTCTGCAGTGCAGCAATTGTCTGTGCAGAGTTCGGTCCCTTTGTTGTCACAGGATCTGCTAACAGTGGTTTGATTCCACATACACCCTGATCATATATGATCCATTGTCTCTCAGCATGATATCTGTGTACATGGGTTTGAACAAAGGATATACATTTACTTCCCACTAACATGACTGGCACCGTAATGCAGAATTATATATATATTTCAGCCTGTGGATGACCGACGGCGAGTTGTGGCCATGTTGTCCTACCGGAAGATCCCAGACACAGATGAACTAAGGTTAGTTGTGTTGCAGTGTCAGCTTACCTTGTCTGCTATTGTTGTATATCTATGCAATATTGTTAGATGTTGGTGCAGTCATTGAAATCAGGACTGAGGTGAGGTGAGGTGAGGTGAAATTGGGTTTTACGTCGTGCTTGAGAGTATTTCGCTCATATGACGATGTGCATGCGTGTGTATGTGTATGTGCGGCTGCTTGTACTAGCCCAGACTAAAGCTGGTTTTATAGTGCTAGCCCACTGAGATACCATGCCACAGTGAAGCATGAATACCCCACTCAGACACATTATACTGACTCCGAGCCGACCAGTCCTTGTTGTACCCATTAATGGCAAACGCCAGGCAGGGACCAACAAGTACCATATTTTAACGTCTTTTGGTATGACGCAGTCGGGGATCGAACCTGCAACCTTCCGCTCTCCCGGGCGGACGCTCTAACCACTACACCATGGAGGCGGTCAAATCATGACTGAAAGTTTGACAGTGCTTTAATGTATGTCGTGAATGAAAGGTAATCTGTGGTAATATGCATGTACTCTTATGTAGGTGTTCTTTAACACACTTTGAGTAGAATACACTTCACAATTCTCAGCAAAGAGACAAAATTGTGCTGGATGGACTAGAGTGAGTGAGTGAGTGAGTGAGTGAGTTTAGTTTTACTCTGCACTCAGCAATATTCCAGCTATATGGCGGCGGTCTGTAAATATTCGAGCCTGGACCAGACAATCCAGTGATCAACAGCATGAGCATCGATCTGTGCAATTGGGAACCAATGACATGTGTCAACCAAGTCACCCGATCCCGTTAGTCGCCTCTTACGACAAGCATGGGTTACTGAAGGCCAATTCTAACCCGGACCTTCATGGGTCGGATGGACTAGAATCACTCTTGCCAGGAATGTCAACTTTCTACAGTGACAACCCCTTTAAGTTAACGTGTAACAACTGTATATTCAAATTTAAGCAATTCTCCCTGAATTGGATGTAAACTATGTCAGTGTCTCTTGTAATAAAACCACCAGTAAGAACGTCCATCAAACATATATGCATGAAGCAAGTCGGCAAGCCTGACCACTCAACCCGTGAGTCACGTCATAAGAAGTGGTATTAGGTGGTCAGACTCACTGATGCTGTTATTGAGTCCCAACTGTGTGGATAGCTACACATGCTTTCAGTCACTGAATTGTCTGGTCCAGATTTGACTATATACAGACTGCTGTCATACAGCTGGCATATTGCATTGTTCAGTTCCACACCTTGATGTAGTTGACACTTTTAGATACTGTAATGGTTGTAGTGCTGTCAGATTTTGTTTGGTGATTGTAATTTTCGTGACCATGCCTTGAGTCAAGATTTTATAATTCTTCAGTTTTGAGAAAGGCGAAACGTTCATTGTGCAGAATGAGCTGGAGAATGGCTGGCTGTGGGTGACGTCAGTGAAAAATGATGAGAGCGGCATCATCCCCGCTGCCCTTGTGGAAGACCTGGTGAGTTAAGTAATATGTCCTAGATTCATTATCAACGGGATGTTGTCAAAGGAGTCAAATGTTTGATGATGCTTACCTGTTAAATGCCATAGTTTTGGAAAGGCCATAAAACTTTCTGTTAGTTGATGGAACTTTTCCCCAAACTCTACTATATCTGAAACCTCGCCATACTTGGGTTGATGTAAGGTCCCATCGCTTGTCATTATATAATACAAAATTAGATCAGGTGACAAAGCTTATTGAATATCATTGTCTTTATCATGATTATACCCTTTGAACATAAACTCACCATACTGTGTAAATCGCTGACTACAGCCCTAACTCACCATACAGCATAAATCGCTGACTACAGCCCTAAACTCACCATGCAGCGTAAATCGCTGACTACAGCTCTAAACTCACCATACAGCGTAAATCGCTGACTACAGCCCTAAACTCACCATACAGCGTAAATCGCTGACTACAGCCCTAAACTCACCATACAGCGTAAATCCCTGACTACAGCCCTAAACTCACCATACAGCGTAAATCGCTGACTACAGCCCTAAACTCACCATACAGCGTAAATCGCTGACTACAGCCCTAAACTCGCCATACAGTGTAAATTGCTGACTACAGCCTTCAACTCAACTCTGCCAGTGTTTGTTTCAGAATGGTACAGATGATCCAGTTGATAGGTGTCCGTACTTCCACTGCAATATCACAAAAGATGAAGCTGTAACAAAACTAGGTCATGGTGAGTATCTGGGTCATCGCCGTCTTCGTGCCAGAAATGTGTGTCACATATTAACATGCATATATAACAAATAAACTGGAGCCAAGCAATGTTCAGTATTAAATGGAACATTTTTGTGTACAAAACTGCACCAACACATAATTTCTTGAACAAAATTCAGACAATTATTCTTAATTGTTTGTGCGATAAATAAGTCCTGCTGCACAATTGTTTTATAATTAAGATAGTATAATTCTACTGATGACAGTTATAAGTATCTACTCCTGCTCCTGAAACTACCAGTTTGAGGCTGAATTCTAATGATATTTTGTAAGCTGAGTTTGTTAAAGTACATACAGAAGCAGTCTTGTAAAGCAGATGCCGAATGGACAGTATTCACTTTTGGTAACAAGTTACTGCTTCACATGTTGACCAAAGGACTTAGTGCAGACAAACATCACTGAATGATGAGATCCATCTCTTGTTTCAGCTGGACCTGGCAGCTACCTGGTGCGTCCAAGTGACAATTCTCCCGGTGCTCTCTCACTGTTTTTCCTTAGTGATATGGTCAGACGCTTTCGTATTGAAAAGAAGGGCAAGAAGTTGTTTGTAGGAGGGCGCTACTTTGACAGGTACATCTACTTATGCCAGATGTTATATATTTTAATCTTTTGTGTGAAATGTAAGAGGAGAGGTAACAATGGAAACATTTGTTTCATCTCTGAGACATTAAACATCACAATTTAGTCACCAAAGATCCAGGTTGTAGTGGTTTGCCATGCAATCATCTGTAGCCGAGCCTGATGCTCTGATCCCCGTGTTAGTCGTCTCATATGACAAGCATAGGAAGCGGGGAACCTGCTCTTCAATCTTAATAGGTGCCAATTCTAAGAGATTAGAGTACTACCTGCTTAGTGTGGATGAACACTATTGTAGGATATATAAGCCTTACCACAGAATTTGTCTAAAAAAAGATTATGAATCGGAAGAAAGGCAGAAACACCTTTAATCAATTGTTTTCAGTTGTTACAGGCAATGAGTCTCTGTGTTACATCTGTATGATCAGTGTCTGAAGGTTTGCTGTCATGCTTAAAAGTTGACATTTTGATTGAATTTGTTGAACTAATGTTTGTCTCTATTCTGTTCTGTCTTCTCTTGTCTTAGTCTGGATGGTATTATTGAGCGGTACAGGACAGAGGAGATAGTGGAAGGGTACAAGCTGGTCAACCCAGTGTATAGGGTAAGTTTCTCCTGCATCCCTGCATAACATCTGAGGACACTTGTCAACGTTTCCCAAAGTCTTTCTGACATTCCAGGAAGCCCTTTCTATCATTCCCTCAAATCTCTCACAACTTTCGATAATTCCCTTAAATATTTCCAACTTCTTAGTACACTTTCTGATATTAACCTATGAGGATCTGGGTTAGAATTGGTCTTCAGCAACCCATGCTTGTCGTAAGAGGCGACTAGCGGGATCGGGTGGTCAGGCTCCCTGGCTTGGTTGACACATGTCATTGTATGCCAGTTGCGTAGATCGATGCGCATGATGTTGATCACTGGATTGTGTGATCCAGACTCGATTATTTGCATTCCACCGAGATATAGATGGAATATTGCTGAGTGTGGTGTTAAACAACAAACAAATATATAAACCAACACTGAAAGTTTTCGATATTAGTTTATATCCGTTCAGCATTTCAGTACACCTTTGTAACATTCCGCCAATCTTTTCTAACATCCCAAACACCTTGGTGACGTTTCCCCAAACTCTCCAACTTCTGGGGACACCGTTCCATCATCAAAGGAAACCTGGCGTTGAAAACAGAAGTCGAAATACAACCCAACTGAATTATTTATGTTTTCAGGATAATATTGATGCATTTGATGGTCATCTGGACAAGCGGTTAACTCTGTCTGAGAGGAACACACTATATGCATCTATAATGAGATCTGGACCAAGTTTGCTGAACAATCGTGATGACCGCATTGAGATGACAGGTTACCTGTACAAGAGAAGTGAGTTGTCTCCCTTTGACTTTTCACCTTAGGGCTTGGTGAATAGTGCTTTAAATCACTTTGATGATTTTATTCACGATTACATATATATTATCTCTGTATTATTATAAGCAGCATTTAGTGGTAATTTAGGAAAGACGTTATTTGTTACTAAACTATTGTTCACAAATTGCAGGTGAGAAGACGAAGAAGTGGAAGTACTTCTACACAATGTTGAATGGAACAGAAAAGCATTTATACCTGTTTGAGAATGAACGAGTGAGTATAACCATGGTTACCGTCGAGACTAATCACTACACTGGTTACTGAAAAGGTCCTCGTTCCATGAAGTGACATACCGCGACTATGACTGAAAGTATCTTTCTGAATTTGAGTTATTGTTAGAGTATTTGCAAATTCTTTTTCAGAAGAAGTCCTCCTTGGGGTACATATAAGCATTAAAATATCCATTTTAAATCCTACGACAGTTGTAACTATATTTTTAATAAAATATTTACAAAACAAAAATCTCGTTTTGTCTTGTGAGACCACCCCTACAGGGCCCCACCGGACCAACACAGCCAAGAGCAGGTAACTCTCGCCGTCTACCTCGTACCTCACTTTTCATGCTGTCGTTCTGTTGAATAGACGTGCGTGGTGTTCGTTTCGAGTTTGCTCTCCTACCGATACGATGAGTGTAAAAGAGTCTCAATCTGTATGTATGGTTCCTTTCTCACGCGCATGGGCGTTAGATGGACGTCATATGTGGATATTTTCATTCATCTTTTGTTGTAACTTTGCCGTGGGTTCTCTGTTTTCCAGCCATGTGGCAGGCAAAATGGCGGACCTTGCCGATCGTGGTTTCCTTGCTATATGTTCTTGGTAGCTTGTAGTAGGGAGTTCATATATTATGTTTGCATATTATATGGTAGGCTTGCCTAAATTCTCTTTCTTTTCAGCTTAATTTGTGGTAAGTCGTTGTTGAGTAATTTTGATAGTGTTCGCTTTAGATATCTCTCAACTTTACTCTATCACTAGTACACGCAGGGGTGGCTAGCCTTTTTTCTGCTTTGCATTGTATGTTTAGTATTTAAATGGCTGTAGCTTGTAGCATTTATATATCGCCCGTGCGGATTATTCTTGCTATTACTTGTGTTTATGTGTTTGCTGCTTCACAGTTCCTGCTAGTAACACTGGCGTGGTTCTGTTTGTTGCAGTTTAAGCCCTGTGCGTTGTGCCATGCACACTACCGCCACAGGATGGTCATAAAGTGTGCCTCCGGTGTTTAGCCGAGGACGCTCACGACGATCAAGGATGCTCATAATAAACGCCCTTGCGTCAATATTCCTGTTACATTATGTTGTATTATGATACATATTTCATACGTTTACACACAACGTGGCTCATAGGCCGAGGTTGTGGTTTTTGTCTGGGTTTCTGCGCCTCGCGCGCATTCTTTCCGACACGCAGATTTTATGTTTTTCACTAATCTGCTTCAGGCGGGGGATAATATTTGATAAAAGGTTTCTAAGGAAATCCCTTTATCGTTTCCCCGCAAACAATGTTGCTGACTTAAATATGACTCAATTTGCTTCACTATTGCAGCAACATATTCTTCAACATAATGTCAAGTCGATGATTGATAGCGCAATGTCCGGGCTCCGTAAGGAGCTTCGGCTCGCAGTGTTGATCTCGAAGGTAAGTTCACCAGGTGTCGCCTGTGGTGAAATCCCGCCCGATTGACACGGTGCTGTCTGGGTTCCGCAAGGAGCTCAGCACGCCTGTCGTCGGGGTGGATCGGACGATCTGGGGGTTGGCTGCGGCCCGAGCTCTGGCTCGGGAGAACGCCCTCCCAGGCAGCTTGATCCTGGCTTCGCTCAGGTGATGGTGTGCCTTCGGCACCTTGTGGCGACCTAGCTTCGGGCTCAGGTTCGCCACGGGCTTCTGGCGCCCGGCGATGCAGGTTTTGCCCTGTCTTCGCCTGGTGCCCTGACTGGCGGTCGCCTAGGCGCAGACCAACTCGGGGACACCTCGGCGCCGGGCACCTTGTGGCAACCTAGCTTCGGGCTCAGGTTCGCCACGGGCTTCTGGCCGGCGATGCAGGTTTTGCCCTGCAGGTTTTGCCCTGGTGCCCTGACTGGCGGTCGCCTAAGCGACCGACCAGCTCGGGACACCTCGGCGCCACGTGGTCAGTCGGGGTTGCCCGGGAAACCTGTATATCGGCAGGTTCCTCTCGGCGCCCCGGTCTTGGTTCCACGGAGCTGTCGATCACCTCGGCGCTCCTAGTCCTAGGTCTACCTGTGTCCACCAGGGGCAACCTGCATTGCCAGGCTACTCCCTTGTGTCTCGGGACTGCAGATCGGACTAGCACCGACCTGGGCTTCGGCCCGCACGGCGAGCAGATCCCCGGCGCTGTTAGCTCAGGTCTCGCCTGATGTCTATCGATGCCCTGGCCAAGAGGCCGTTGAGTGTGACGAGCTGCCGATCACCTCGACGCGCCGAGGTCTACCCGTGTACACCAGGGGAGCCCTGCATTGTCAGGCCACTCCCATGTGTTGGGGATCGGGGTTCGAACTCGAACCGCCGACCCGAGCACTTACATACATACATGTGTATGTATGGGTATTTATATAGTGCTATACGATATGTTTGACTATACGCTCAGTGCGCTTTTGGAGATTACTTGGGGAAACCTGATTTATCAGGCTACTCCTACGCAGCCCGGGATCGGGTTCGGTCTAGAACAGCTGAGCTTCGGGCTCTGCGATTCTCTGAACCCGTGGGTAGCGCCGACCCAGGCTTCGCACTGGTAGGGCGCAGATTCCCGACTCGGTAGTTCAGGTCTCGGCTCCGGTAGTTCAGGTCTCGGCCTGATGTCTATCGATGTATTGACCTAGATGCCATCGAGTGTGCCGGGTGTGACTGTCACCTCGCCCGCTCCGAGGTCTGTCTGAGTGCTTGTGAAACCTTGATTGTCAGGCTTCTCACATGTGCCTCGGAATCGGGTTCAGGCTCATTACAGTGGACAAGTCGATTTGAGCTTCGGCTCATTTCGCTACTTTGAACTTACCACTAAGTAGGTTCGTCCCTGAGGGCAAGTCGCGAGATAGAATCGCGCTGTGTTGCCTCAGGTGTTGTCCATGTCGACTACCCGAACCGTTGGAGTTCGCCTCCCAGAGGGAAGCCTGCTTCCAGCACGGCATCCGGGACAAGGCCTCACACTCTCCCTTAAGTCTGCTGTTCTTTCCCCTTCACAGCTCAACGCTGTATGCTCAACTCGGCGCATCTCTCAGCGCTGCTGAGGGAGCTGGTGGAAAGGGGAGAGAGCGCCGGTGGAATTTTTTCGTCGGCAACTCTGGGCGGCATCTGACGGGGGCAACTCTCATCTGGCTAGGGACTGCATTGTAGCTGTGCCAGTCAAATGATGAGGGCGGTTATGGGCATATATGCCCGGGACAGTTCGAGGAATACGGAAGTCTGTTGAGCTTCGCTACTTCCTCAGGTGCCCAGGCATCGCAAACGCTAAGTTGCCGACTGCTGGGGTTACTATATTCTGCCGCGAAACACCGGGCGGGCGACACACTCCAGTGTCGGCTTCCCGGAGACAGCGACAATACCCCCGTGCCCAGATCCAGTCTTTGCTGGGCTAGGCAACCAGTGTGGTGGTTTCCAATGGTCAGGAATATGTGGGGTTTGACTCCACTTATTTCATAGTTGCCATTACAAACGGAATGTTCAGACCCATTCTCATCTGAGAGCTGAACAAGTTTATAGAGGTACTGTCCTTCAAGATGGAGACACACGCCGGTGATCTCATCTGCCGAGACAGGGGATTGGCGCACGCCAATCGACCTCGGAGGTCGCTGCGTACCTCCTTGTTCCATTGCACCCTGATTTCAAGATTTACCTTCGGTTTCTTGTTTGACGGGATGTGCTACCAGTTTCGTGTGCTCTCCTTAGGCTACATTACGGTGCCAAGGGTGTTCACCAAATTGAGGTTTATTACAGCTCAGATAGCCAGATCGCGAGTGCGGTGTTGTCACCCGTACATAGGCGACTGACTCATCGTGGTTTCAGATAACTGTTGAGTCTGGGGTCCTCACGCGATCAGTTACTGAAACTGGGCGGAATTGTCAACCTCACGCAGTCAGATGGACAGACGTCAAGCGTCTCTCCGGTGGGTCCCCACCCTGGAGACACCGCCGCTCTCAGTCCAGCCAGATACATCCCTACCGGGTTAGGGCGATGTTCTGGGTGACCTGCAGCCTCTTGAGACGAAGTCACAACCTGCACATCAATGTGCTGGAATTGACAGCAGTCAGGTTGGTGTTCGATCCGCACACCGGGATTCAATTACCTCTTCGCCAGACATTCTCACTCTGCATCGGGCGCCACACCAATCCTCGGATTCACTGGGTGGCTTGGCCTCTGTCGGGTATAACACACGGAATTCCTGCAACCGTTGCAGACACAATTCTGCCTGGGATTTGACACCCGCTCAGTGTGTTGATAGGTGGGCTGGTGGTGTGCAGATAGGGGATTTCATAATCCCTATTCTGCGGATTTAGTTCGGATATTGGAGTTACTATAACCTCGTTTTGGTTGAGAGCCTTATGACCTCCACCATTGCCGGGTACTCCATGGCTATTTCCACGCTTCACACCTCGCTCGATGGTGCTCTGCCTAGGCAGCATCCTCTCGCATAACGCCGTCGTAGCTGGCATGAACAGGGTTCGACCGCCTTCGTCGGCGACCCAGCCCACCTTAAAATTGCCACTTATTCACAATTGGCTGTCTGGCCCTAATTTTTCAAGTATATCGCTCTCTCACTTCACTTGTTGGCGTGGAAGACGACTTTACTTTTGTTGTGAACTCTGGTAGAAGGGTCGGGTACATCCATGCGATTCCCACTGACCTGACACTGACAGTATTTTATACTGATCATGTCCGTATTCGACTCGGATACCTACCACTCTCAGTGCGATATTGCTTTCCGTGACTGCTCATATCGCACTTCCACCCTTTAACCAGCCTTCCGCACCGGGACCAATCTTTGATTGCTCACCCGTGCCTGTCACTAAACGAAAGCGAACAACAGGGATCCGTACGGGTACCCATGTGAGCTGTTTGGTGGCGGGAAGACAGGGGAGTCTGCTAGCAAGCGCACTTTATCTTGTTGGCTTGTTTCCGTAATTGTATGGTTACAATGATAAGGTTTACCTCCCCCCGAGGGGTTGAAGGCAGACTGGGTAGGGCAGATGCCGCTTTGTTGGCATTAC